TTAGGCTCTGCGATATTAGCCCGTAGCGTGATTTCTGTTATAAATATTTGAACAAACGATTCGCAAGCCAATACGAAAATACATAAAGTCAACTCAATTGCTCGCCGATTCGAATCGAAAACGCAACACACAAGAAGTAGGACCAACTTTCGTACAATGAAACGCTGTTACCAGCATTAAAGAAAGACTGCTTGCTCTGTTCCGTCTCGCAGGGTCCATTGTTACCTCAATTATCGTCTCCGCTCAACCGTGAAAGGGCTTTGTGGATCTTTGCACTTAGTTTTCACCATAAACGAATCGCTCTCTCTAGAATGTTCTCGAAAATACAAATGGGCAAGCGCGTGCGACGATTAATCGTGTACGCGAGTGATTTATTCGTATAGCTAAAGGCCGATGTTCCATATTTAGGCAGTTATAAAATTTCACTTTCGGTGTCGTAATAATAAAAAATATCTTCAGAAAACTTTTTAATAATTTAATAGCGAATAATTTTCTACAACTGAAACTTACTCAAAACGACTGCTCCGAAGAATATTGTATGACATAACTCGCACAGGGAAAATGCTTACCTGTAACAAAAATGTTATTTAGCATATAAAAAATCATTAGTATGTCATACCACCAAGATGAGTATTTATCGCAATCCGGCGCGTTTTTCGGTTAAATATTGGATGAAAATAATGAATAATATCATAATAACAATATCTAACTGTCCCGTGACCATGAACACTGGAAAGGGTTGGAAACACCTAAAACTTTCAATCAAATTAAGACACGACAAAATACTTCAACCAGTTTAATTTAAAAATATTTAACTATCATTAAAATAAACTCTACAATAATTTTGTGGTTATTAAAATTTTATACAACGTAAATATTAAAAATAACAAACTTAATACAAGGTTAAGAATTCACCTGAATTAAAAATGAAAACTGTACAAAACAGTGTAGTCAAACTTTAAAAGCATTTCAAAGTACCTATTTTATCCAGAGAAACCGAAAATCGTAAAAGATTACGAGTCTAATTCTTAAACTTCAGCTCGCTCAAACAGTTTGTATAAAGCCCAGCGATACAAGCATAAGACTGTACGACGTCCGATGTTCATATCACACACAAAGAGCAGAGTCAATTGGTGGGTCAAATGAGCGCGGGAAAGATAGCTAGGACCGAAACAATTGAGTCACTTGATAAGGCGCCCGAACTCGTCACGACGGCCACGAGAAATTTTAAATGGGCACACTTAAACTTTTAGAAGCGTGCCCTCAATCCTTTAATATAGCCAAATACATTGCAGTTAGATTACTATTAATAATCCCCGAACATTGCAGATTCTTTCAAGAGGCACTCAACACGAATTGCATTCCTACTAGATTGATTGTTCACTTTATAGCCAGAGGTTAACAATCATTGCTAAAGGAATAATGAATAGTTTTAGTTTGTTAACTGGACACCCCTTTTCATCACTATTAGGCTAGTTATTTTTTATGTTAGACGGTGGCAAGCAGTGTTGGTTGACAAGGGCGGTTCACGCATCTACTTGTGGTTGCAGATGCGTTGCCAACCTTCGAAATAGTGAGCTCTAGTTACCTTATTCTTCCAGAACCTGACAACTCATGCAATCAAGTTGCTGCGTGGGTCTATCACATTAAAAACTTTAACCAGTTAAAGCTGATCTGATCTGAGAATAAAAGGTGATCCTCACGTTGATAATAAATGCACTAACTCAATAGAAGACGTATGGCTCTTGCCTTGAAGATATCAATACTGTGGTGGGGTTCGTTTGAACGTTACCAATTGATATAAAAGTCGTCATATGGGTTGGCCAATCTACTTCTCATTAACCTGTTCTTCGATGGAGTAACGTATACGAACATGGTAAGATCGTGGAACAAAATGTGGCGACTAAAACCGGGAAACAGTATTATTATTAAGTAAGTTTTCTAAAAAATATTCAGAGCAAACATGCCATGTGGAAGTGTTATTTTTCGAAGCAAAATGAAGTTAATACGTGAGCCAAAAATTTATTATATATATAACGGAAATTATCTAATTTCAAAGAAATCATAAAGATATCGGTGCAAGTACACTTAAGAGATAACGGAGCCGATATCGTGTTGTACTTCTTTGTCGTGTTTACACAACGAAACATTTTTTGTCTGTAACAATTTGTACAAATAACTTCATTTCTAAACGATTATTATAATTAATGTCACATTATATCTATAAAATATATATACACATATATTGGACATTAATAATTGTACAAATCTGTCTGCGCCGTAATCTATGATATCTACATTTTAACACATTTGGAACCACAATAATTATACTATATTTTTACAGTAGAGTATACATATCAAAATCCATAATTATGTAGCCTGTTTATTCAGTACACATAAATTTTAAATTGGTCTTTAAATACCATTCTGATGAACTTGAGACTTGATAGTAACTTGATAGCAAGTCTATATTCAGTCGGTGGTTTATCAATCTATTCCTAATGAATCTATAAAATTATTACGGACTTTGGGATATTTTATCGATTGTAAATATGGGTTACATAAAACACTTTTTTTTTATTTTTAAATGTTTTGCGCTTTTCTTTCCTGTTTAACAATAGTTATTTAAAAATAAACAATTTTTAAATAACTATTGTTAAACAAACACCTGCTGTACATAGGCCTTTGCCTAGTTGTGAGACATAGATAGGCTGTTACTTTTCTTTAAATAAGCTTTTGGTTTTTTAACAGACAATTTTATTTTTTTCAAATTTACATTTTTTTCCGTTCATGCTGCATGTTGTCTGCGTCTGTAATTATAATGGCCCTAAAGAATAATCGATGAATTTTTAATTAGTTATGTCTTTAATAGCTGACATAATGTTAGCATTTCATATTGGAAAAAAGTAACTATTATTGGAAAAAAGAACGTTTCGCAAAACTACGTATCAAAACAAAACCAAATCCAAATGTCCAGTATTGTCTTTATGCTTGCGTCTTAGTTGACCAATGCGACCGTTAATATTACGAAATCGTTTCACTTTTCATCTGACGCGATATGCAAATACTCATCTAGACCGTGACTGAGTTAGACGTTGACGCCCACCTGGCACCTCGCGCTATCGGTACGCAAAACACTAATACCGCTAAAAATCCACCATCTTATTGACTTTTAACTCCTTTAACCTAACGGCTTTTCACAGCCGTTGAGAAACGATTCTCTAGATGCGAGGAGGAATCTATGAAAATATAATGTAAACAGCACAAATGAACTGTTGCCCTGATAGTTCAGTGTCCGGGCGCTCGCCTTTAATTCAATATACTCGAGCAACCTGAGTTCGGATCCCGGTGCCGGCACCAATGAAGTTTTTAACTTTAAGTGCTGACTTATCACGTGCTCCGCGGTGAAGGAAAACATCGTGAGGAAACCTGCATATTTTCGAAATTATAACAAAAAAAATATTTCGAAGATATGTGAAGTCCGCCAATCCGCAGTGGGGCCACGTGGTGAACTATGCCCTGATACCCTCTGTATAGAAGAGGCCTTTGCCCAGCAGTGGGACATGTACTCTACTTTTAAACTAAACGTATAACCAAAACCATTATCCAAATGTCCAATTATGTTTAAAGTTTCTAATCTCTAACTCATCGGGAATGAACAAACATTAATACAATGTGCACAATTGGTGAGCAAGGTCGAGCGAGCGATTTAACACAATCGTGGTATTAAATTAAATTATTAACAATATCTCCAGGAGAAATACATAGTTTCAGTCTCCCTTGCATTTACCACAACTTATTTCCACGCCTGGGAGAGAATTCCAAAAGGCATTAAATTAGCGCTCTATAATCCTTCTTTAAGGTTATTGCAATAAGAGATATTAAAAAAAATGAGATGGCAAGAGTGATATAGCCTATATATATAGAGAAGTAGCCGGGGCCCATTTTATTAAAAGGGAGCAACCACATTTGCAACCCTACGGGTGTTGCAAATTTCCATTGGCGGCGGCTATCACTTGATATCACGCAAGATCGCTTGCCATCTTATCCCATAAAAACATTCATGCCACAGTCCCAGTAATGGAGTTAGTGTCTGCGATGAAAACATGTTTTATTCAATATTATTATCTGCTCTACAACTAGTTCAATTACACCTTCAACCTAGCCAGCGACCTACGGATTGATTGTTTCTACCTATAATTACCACACCAAAGTTTCTATAATTAGTTCTATTAAGCCAACGGCCCGCTGGTTGAATGTATTGAACCAATTAATAGAAGACGAGCCCAATTTCCACCATATTTAATGATTCTTTTACGCGAATATTGTACATTTTACAATGAAAGCGTATATACGACTTTCATAGCGTTTATTTAATTTAAGCTTCTGGCGCTTCGTACAAGGTGAAAAGCAAAGTGAAGTATTTAAAAAAATCACCGCATCTATTAACAAGTTATAATTTGAAATCTAATTATTATAACTAGGAATAGACACATTTGGAAACAATCGATTTAAATGAAATTATACGAATGCTTAAAGAGGCTAATTATTGAGTAAACCATTAAAGAATAATAGATGACGTCACAATATAACGATACAACGTAAAAAGGCTGTATGACATCACCCAACGATGAGATAATCGACCTCCACGCTCACTTATCTCGTTAACTTGAATATTTTTAAGGATTTTTATAAAACGCAACAAGAATGTACTGTACTTGTATACATTACCATGAATCTACTACCACAAACGACTCGTAATTTTGTGCGGATGAATAATAATCCGTGATACTGAGATTTTTCCAAATAACTACACTAAAACATAATAAGATGCAGCTATAAAGATTAAGAACTATAGATAGGTCGAATTTTCCTTGTTGCTTATACATTTAGTGACGGTAAAAATATTAACACGGGAAAGGCTGACCGCACGTCACAAATTAACCGACAAGAGACCGAACACGATCAAGGAAACCGGTCACAGTAAGTATACAGTCTCAAACGAAACCCCGCGAAGAATCAGACATTATAAACCTGCACAGGACGGTGTGACACACCATTGATACGGCTGCGCAAATGACCTCGATGCGAGGGGAGGAATGGGGGAGGGGCAAGGGGGGAGGCGCTGACGGCATCTGACCGATTCCCAAGTAGGTCTCTAAGTATGAGAAACCACGAGTAGTTTGCAAAGTCTGCCCACTGTCTGCCTTCAAGTTATAGGTCAAAACGCCCGTATGACTAACACTGAGAAACGGCCCCCCGCTAATTGGCGCAGCAATACCTCTCGGATCGAATGAAGCAACAAGGCGCATTAAAGCCAAGATCAAGGGAAATATCAGGAAAATTGCATTTTTTACGACAACTTTGAATGGGTCGGGACTGAAACGTTTGAATGATTCAGCAGAATAATAAAATACGATGTTATTCCTAGATAGATATTTAACAATATTATAAAATCAACTATAACATTTAACACTGTAGAACTAAAGAGTATTAAAAACTAGAGTAGAGTAGTGATATCCAGATATATTCATGTTTGGTCTATAGATTTTGCGCAGACCTAAATGAAGCAAAAAATCACCTTTCTAGGTCACCAGAGGGCGTGGATATAATGGACACACTAGCACAGAAGCGAACCGAAAGCCAAAAGGGTTTTTATCGCAATAGATTACACGCTCCAAATCATACCGATACGGCATAGGAATGCACGGCGCCGTCCCATTACTTCGGCCTTCCGTGTTGCTTGATAACCGCACCTCCGAACTATCGACTTCGGAGCGCGGAAGGCGTGAGGGCCGGAAACGAACGTACCAAGGCGTTGCGGGAGCTATCTCATCTCCAGGATCAGGAAGGTCAGATGTAGAAGGCGGTGACTCGAGCGGAGCACTGGGCAGTCAGTCCGTACGAGGGATTCGGTGAAGAAGGTCACGAGCACTGGATGAGCACGAGCGCGCGGCGGCACTGGACCCGCGGAGTGAGCCGCGGCGGCACTATCGATCGGTCTCCCGGCGCCGACAAGCCGCATGCCCCTAGCACACGCACGCCCCTCCCACTCTGCCCACCCCGATGTAGGGTGTATCCGAAACGAGGTGTATCCGAGCAGATTTTTTTTTCGTAAATCGTCACCGTCAGAATTTCATGTTGCCTCTTAATTTGAAACCACACTAATTGTAATGTAAGAGCAAATATGAAGTATAATAAAATTTATCTGCATCTTTGTTGGATTATTTTTCGTTCAGTAAATCACAGTAAACGGCATCCCGTGATCATGAATGATGCAGTGTGAAAATAAACGCGATAAATGCGTAAAAATAGTTTCATTTAGTAATGGTAAGTTAGTTGTTAACGGTGGTAGGGCCACGCAGCAGCCTCGGCTGTTGCACGAATGGGCAGGGCCGTCCGGGTAAGTACCACGACCTCACAGAAGACCAGCGTAAAGTGGAAGTATGACAAATACTTTCGCGTTTCGCTGGTGAGTGAGGTAGCCGGAGCCCAATTTTCAAAAAGGTTGTCAACGCATTTGTCCATGGGCGGCGGTATTCACTTAACATCAGGCGAACCGTCTACTCGTTTGACAAATTTTCACATAAAATAAATATTGAGTAATGTTTTGAGTTCGCTTCGCACGTTTCAATTTCCAGTTAAAGGATTATAACATTTTTGCCCGCAGCAGTTGTAATTTACGTCAATACTAACATCCATTATTGACCTAAATTACTAGTAATAAAAAAAAATAATTTTGACAGTCTAATAATCAGTAGTTTTCGAAAAACTAGTATGAAAAAATCTACAAAAAGGAGTAAAGTAGGGTATGATAGAACAGGATTGCATAACATTTGAGGAACTTTGTAGACTAAATCAGATGGAAAGAGACCTGCGGATATTTAGGTCTCGGTGTTGACACCCGACGTCCCCTTCCTCCCAATTCACCTGACCTTGTCCGGCGTTAAAACTCCCTACATCTAACACACCCCAGACAGTAAAGGAAATATGTTATATATTATCGGGATTGCCACGATAATCAAAAAAGGAGGGTATGTAGGTAAAGGTAACAGTTGTTAACATTTACAAAGATAAGAATTTCAATTTGAAAGCTGCATTCAGATTTTACAAAATAACTTTTACGAAAATTAATATAACGAGTATTTTCGTTTTTTTTTTTTCAGAGCATGCGGTTCGGTGACCCATGCACATCTACATCACCTTAGGTCTTGCAGATGTGTTGACAACTTTTAAAAAAGTGAGCCTTATATACACCATTAACCAGACGAAACGCGAAAGTATTAGACCTTTACTTTACGCCGGTATCCTGTGAGGCCATGATACTTCACCTGATGAGCCTGCCCATTCATGCAACAGTTAACGCTTGTGGTGTTACCGCAGTAAAAATTATTACAAGTATATTAAATTAAATCCGTTTTTATTCAAAAATTATTTATGACTAGTTGCTGCCCGCGACTACGTCTGCGTAGAGTAGGCTGAAGGTAACATTAACGCAGAAAGACAGATATACATAAAATATGTATATTAAATTATAGCCTATGTCTTGTTCTGATATATAAGCTATATTATTGTAAAGTTTCATTAAAATCCATTCAGTAGTATTTGCGTTGAAAGAGTAACAAATATCCATCTGTATATACAAACTTTCGCCATTATATTAGTAAGGATATGGCCTTATTATAAACCAAGAGCGAGTCGGACTCGCGCACGAAGGGTTCCGTACCATTATCTATAAATACGGCAACAAAAATCATGTCTGTTGTATGGGAGCCCCACTTAATATTTATTTATCATGTTTTTTAATATTTGTTGTTACAGTGGCAACAGGAATACATCATCTGTGGAAATTACAACTGTCTAACTATCATGAGATACAGTCTGGTGAAAGATAGACGGACAGACAGAGAGCACAGTCCTAGTAATAGGGTCCCGTTTTACCGTTTGGTTACGGAACCTTTAAAAAAAAGAGTTCATTTAAGAGGCTGTAAAATAAATCAACATGAAGGTCTTCAAATCATTAAAGTATATAAAGCATATTAAAACATAACTTTATATTTGAAGTAACATGAAAAGTAAAAATCATAAATTAATTACTTTGTGATCAATTTCATATTGGTTGATAAATATCTAAAACTAGTACTACTTTTAAACTTTAAGCTGATATTGATAAAACTTTTTTATCTAAGAACTGATTTAAATAAAACTAAGTGTTACACTAAATGTTAAGTGAAGCTTACTACAATGCATTAGCGAAAGTCACACCCAAATCAGTTAAGCTGTTTCTGAGATTTGCAGGCATAATCACACAGACAAACAGACAAAAACTTTAACAATCCTTGTTTTTGGTTCTAAAGTGTTGATAAAGGCCTCCAATAATAGTTTTTCTCAACTATCTTACATGTTCAGACAACAATCGGTTACATTTTTATTATTTTTAGCTTTCTGAATTTTAACCAAGCCAAAAACACATCTTGTACTATGCAAGTTATCTGAAAAAGCCTAGAATACACATAGCAAATTTGTGCTACCTTATAATTCTATGTTTAATATTTGCAAATAATGTTCAATGTTTTAAAAAGCTTAAGCAACAAGGCAGGCTTACATAAGTGATAACAACTATGAAAAATCTTTGGTAATCGGCAAAACATACAGCATTATTGGTTAAACTTGACGAATTTTTTATGATGAACAAAACATAAATGCAATTAAATACTATGGAATATTATTATAGATAATTATATGTTTTGTATCTAAAGTAATAATAATTATAAGCCTCCTTATCAATTTAAAAGTAGAACTTATGACCACTTCACAGTCGCAGTTGTGTTTTATCAATGATAACAGAACAAATTATCAATAGCAAACTTGAATTCATGCAATTTCTTTCAACAGTAGTTTGACTTCAATTACAGGCATTCCCGTTTCTATATAAATGAATTGTGCATAATACACACAATTTTAAAATTCAGATTATTTAGTAATTGTCATGTACGTAATTATGTAGTCTTAATGTAGTCAATTCAGATGATAGGCAAGCAAAGTTAAAGAAATGAAAAGCAGTGATATATATGAACCATTTTTTTGTAACACAGAAAGTAAACTAGACAGATATAAAATAATAAAAAGTCATGACGAATTTATTTTCATGGAAAAAATATTAAAAGTAATCATTTTATATACGTAGTTCCACTTTATTTTGTAGTTTTTAGGTACCAATTATTACACATAAATACATAAATATATGAATATCTTATAATATACTAAATCCTAGAACTTCACAACACTTTCGATTTTAGTTTTTAATAAAATATAAATTTATAAAATGAAGTTAACCAAAAGAAATCAATCAAATCATTTTATCACATTTAATTGTTTAAGTGCAACATCATAATAGTACATTCAATACTTTATTGCAACATAATACAATAAGGTACAGAATGATTGAATGATGAGTAATGACTTAATTGGTACCGAGGAACAAATGTCACACCTCATTTGCAATAAAGCCATTTATTCATGATTACCCACAAATTTAGTTTATCGGAAAATTATAAAATCTTCTACTGTTAACTGCAACATAAATATTTTGTCAAATACTCTACTATGCTCATGCTATGTGGCTGAAATGTTTTCATTTCCAAAATTGCCATAACTAACCAATAAAACTGTAATGTATGTTTACGTTGAATTGTTATTTTTGAAAATTACCTTGGGTTTTGGGCTTAATATTATATAAACTTTCCTTTTTCTTTTATTGCTTTGAAATTCAATTCTATAATATGTATTAACAAGTTCGTTATAAATTAAAAAAATAGGACAGCTTCCAAGGCCTTTCTGGCTATTTATTCAAAGATCAATAGATAAAATATATTTATCAAAAACGTCAAACAACTAGATCAAAATTGAATCTTATTGGCATTATTTTGCTTTCTATTGGTCAATTGAACAGCATTAAAAATTTCTTCTACATGTCGATTGATTGTGTCATTTTTAAATGCAGCAACTTATGACAAAATAACCCTTTTCTAAGATAAATTTATTAACTACTTACCCAAAAAATAAAATCACTTGCACAAGCACACCAGAAACAAATTCCTTATCCAACTTGTAATTTTAATAACATAACACGGTCACTTTCAAATAAAAGTCTCAAAAATAATCACTATTCATAAATAAAATTTCAAATTATAATCCGTGTAATCTACGAGTACGATCAGGCGTCGAAGGCGAGGCAAAAGATCGCCGCGAAAGCATCACCTTACCACCCACGACATAGATTAAATAACGTCGCCTGTTTTGAATTGTTATGTTTTGATATTGCCTACAAAATTTAAGCAAATAAGCAGTAAACTTCTCATAATAACAAATCTGAAATATTTACAAACTATTACCGTTTTTGATAATGGATAATATGAAAACTAAGTACTAATTAAATTCCATGAAGTTTTTAAAGTTTTAAATCTCAAACAATATGCAGACTACTTAAAACTCATCAACATCATATTAATGTAATAGGTAAGTATTTATTTTCAAGAAGTAAATCATTTAAACCTAATTCATTCTATATCGATTATGATTATTATTGTACAAAAAAAGTTCTATTTCTGTTTTATTTTATTCTTTGACGAGAATGATGTCATACATCAGCATAGTGTTATATTAGTCTATGATTCATCTTGTATTTATTTTCAATAAATGTAAGTTTCAATTTTATTTCGTGTATTCTTTTAAAACGAAATAATATTGAAAATGCTTATTGAAGAACATATAACACCACTATTTAACACTATAAAAATTGGGTTATATATTTAATAATATTTTATCTGTGCAATTATTCATTTTCTGTTTCTCCGAGCAGTCTTGCCAACTTGGGGCTTTTGGCAGCAAATTTATGTTATTAACTTATTATTATTAGTATTTGGAATATAATCTTTTACTTTTTCCTGGGGTTCACTCTTTTTAGTTTTTCTAATAATTCAATAGATAGACAACAAATTAGTTGGTACTGATGCAGCATTAATCCTGCGGTAAAAATAAAAATGAATGTGCAACATGTTTCGAGGTCTAAATGTTTAAATACTTATGTAAGCAGAATCTTCCTTTTAATAAATTACATGAGAGTGGTCAATGATAATTGATATTATATACAAATACGAGACATAAAAACATCACTGAAGAATGGTGATAATGCTGGGTCAATATCAGGTAGCTTCAGTTTATCATATTATTTAAAAGATATTACACATACGATTTTAAACCCTTGGCTACTGTCAGATAAAAAGTGCGATATTGAAAACTTAAGAGACAACTTAAAAGGCGAGACCTCGAGAAATGTATCTTGTGATGGTGCACAAGATACATTTATTTTAGTTAATTATTAACCATTTTTTTATTATTTTAGTAAATTTTATTATAGTTAATAATTATGTTCAATCTTAAATATAAAATATGATAAAAAGACAAACAATATTGATCATATATAACAAATTTAAGATTATGATGTCTAAGATTAAGATGAGTATTAAACATTATTAGAAACAAACATCAAACTGAATGTATCCATTTTCAAAGTTTCATACACAGTGTCTTGTACAATATACAAATAAATGGGGTATAAAAGAAATTAAAAAGAAAACTGGGACAGATTCCTCGAACGCTTATCGGTTTACAGAGCTTGTTCCAATTTTTTTAATTTTATGGAACTCTAAAGCTACTTTGAAATTTTAGGCTTAAGGATAATTTGAAAATAATAAATAAAAGCAAAATTTGTTAAGGTATACAGCGTGTCGTTACAAACGCGACAATAAATCAACACACATCTAACGTTACTATCCAATAAACATAAAAACATATAAAACATTAAAAAAATCCATAATTAAAAAAATATATTTTTCAAACAAACTAATGAAATAAAAAAGAAAATTTGTAACACTGATTATTACTGACTGATTCATACATTCAGAAACTTTTTCATTTGTTGCCAAAACTATATATGATAGGTATGTTTTATCTCTTTTATATTCATTCAACCCATTCATATGCTTTGTAACCTTTACAAATGAACTTTACGTAACAGTTTTATACGTAAGAAGGGTGTTCTAAAAATGTCTGTTTTGTAAAATTTAATAACTCTGTAAATATTGCTATTTAAAGAATGTAAATGCTTAATACAATTTTAAAAAGTTATCCTCTATATGAGTGTTCATTTATTGTCGCGGTTATAAAGACACGCTGTATACATGAATTAACGTAATTCATAAAATTTTCCCCAGTTATATAATAACAAAATTGTGCAAAAGAAAAATATTGGTAATATGTGAAAATGAAAATGTCTGATTAATTAACTTGACATAAACTTCAAGCACCTTTTAAATCCGTAGGTCTTGGGAGGCCTATACAGAACCACTAGACTTATGGTGGCCAGGCACCGAGGGCGCCTAGCCTGAACCTCGGTTACTGGTGACCTAGGTCGAGGGAGCGTCGACTCGGGTCGTCACGTTATTATAATTAGACCTTTTTTAATCTTTTTTTTCTTTTGTTTTCTGTGGCTGGATCAACAACTGTTGGCATTAGCGGCCTTTACAAATCCACCGGGCTTGAGGTGGCCTGGCACTGAGAGCGCCTAGCCTGTACCTCGATTTATGGGTGACTAGGCTCGAGGGCTCCCGAGTGAGCTTTGGCTCAGGCCGTCACGCTATTATTCGCACCGGTTTGGGAGGCCACCAAGCTCTTAGGGCGCTTTGGCTGACGCTCAATGGAGTAACTAGGCTCAAGGGCCCCGAGAGGGGAACCTCGGCTTGGGCTGTTACTCAATACCCGTTTAGCATTCCCATGGTGCCCGTGATGGTGCCCGTGACCTCCGGACCTCGGCTCGGTCGGTAAATATAGTCTGACTGGGAGAATTTCCAAAGCTACCACTTCAGAAAGCGTTGGCGCTGGGAGAAACTCCAGCAACGCTTCTGACGGTTCTTTCGTCTTAAATTAAATAGTTGTTGCTACTACTAAATGGTTTTTTAAATTTTTTTTTTCACCTGTTTGGGAATTTTGTACCAACTTGGAAGTACATTTTAAAATATGTTTTGTAGCATTTCTCTAATTTTATAAAATTATCTCAAACGCATAGGTAGGCAACATAAATTAAGTAGGTATATGCAGCTACTTATCCATACGTGTAATAAATGCGACATGAGTACCACTATTAAGCTATATTTAGTTTATTATGCTTATTTTCGCAGCATTATGCCATATGGTGTATTAATTTGGGGTTCCGCATCTAGTTTGGATACAATGTTTGTATTGCAAAAGAAAGCTATACGGGCTGTCTATAGGTTGGGTCCACGTGAGTCACTACAGCATCTTTATAAGCATCTACATACTGGAGAACACCATATATGTATGTAATATTTTGATGACTCCGTGGCGCAGTTGCCAAGGTATTGGCTTCGGCGTCGGGGGTCGTGGGTTCGATCCCCACACGGGACAACTATTTGTGTGACCCACAGATAGTTGTTTCGCATCTGGGTGTTTGTCCGCGTGAAATTTATGTTTGTAAAGCGTCCTTGCAACACAGGATAAATTTATCCTATAGTAAGGGCAATGTTTAAAAAAAAGAAAAAAAAATATTGTCCATATTATAAAAAAAATTATATAAAATAGTACATCGCTCTGCACTTGCAAGTCCCCTGGCTGCTGCTGATTTTATACTTGAATAATTTTCCATTCTCATTTATTTAAAAAATCATAAGACGTAAATTGACGTTCAATAAGAACTTAAAACCTATTTTGAATAAAGAAACTAACATTGAACCTGCACTTTTGTGTTAAATTATTTAGCTTTTTTCAATAGATACCTGAATTGACGACTCGGTGGCGCAGATGCCAAGCTATTATGACGTGGGTGCGATTCCCACATGGAACAAGTATTTGTGTGAAATGAGCAGGAGGATGATGCATGTAGGTACATTCTAATGTGAAGTATTCAGTTTGCACAGATTAGATAAGCTATACTAATTGATGTTTAATGAACTATTTTTGTAACCACTTCTTTAAATGTCATCTTTTTTAATTTAAAAGTTTCGTGGTATTCTAGAACATTCTTCTTAGACTGTTTTGTCGAATTTATGGGTTTAAACTAAACCAAGAAATACCTGTAATTAAAATATAGATAGATGGAGGTGCCAATATATTGTAAATTTATTAAACTAAAAGGACATGCTTATCAAAAAATAAAATATGGGTAAATATTGTTTTTTTTTTTTAATTATAAAAATTAAATAAAATAAGAAAATATTATTTCTTATCGTCAATATTATCACAATATACGTTTATACATATATCCCATACAAATTTTAATGTATTACAAAGTACATTTTATAATGTCTTAATGTTCGAGGTAGCGCTAGTGATTTTACATTCGACTTACATGAATACCTTCACCAAAAAACTGATTTTGATAACTACCTGAACACACATTTATTGTGCAAGCAATATATATAAAGACTATGTTTTTCTCAAAAAGCATAAGCCTCTTGGTCTTCCTATACCTTCCTCGTGAATCGATTTGCTTTTTCTACAAAAGTAACGTTTACAAAATTACTTTACGTATTAATTAATCGTAAGTATACATCATTGTAGATTAACGTTCATAAATATAACACAAATTATAAGTTATACAATTTACCAAAAGCACCACCTCAATCGACACACTTTTATAACTAAAAATAAATTAAATCACAATCTAAGTAAATATAAACACATCGATTAGACAGTCTTCTCGGAAAAGTTAACCGATAAACTCAAAATTTATTTGTCACTTATAAACACACCCTTTTGCCGCAGTGGAACATATCAAATGACTGGTAAAACTGTGACATAGTGATATAACCGCCATATTTCTATCGTTTCCGTGAAAATTAAAAAGCGTTGCCAGTTCATTTGCCATCTTATTTCACTACACTTGTGTGATGACCTTAAATTATTTTTAGATCAATATTTAAGCTCGATCTGATTCAATTTACACCTTTTATCTTGTTGCCATTACATTAATGTAGTGCAAACCATCGTTCAGAGATTAGCTAAATATCTATGGCTGTATTCATCTGTCTCTTTACTATTTAAGAGCAAGCCAACAGAAAACGATGCATAAAATTGATACCATAATTCCAGTTTGAATTTTGGCCTTTGAATCATAAAATTGGAGACTAGTTTTAAGTATCGCTTGTATTGACATCATTTAAGCACCGACGCTTCTGCTACATTGAAGAATTCTTTATTTTAATATGTTTATCTCTATTCGACATAACAGTATGTAGTTAGATTTGTATCGAAATGAGAGGAACCGTTGTAGTGTACATCTCTTCTAGGCACAAATATTAAAACAATTTTTTAAGTTTCGAATACGGATTATCAACTTCCAAGTTCAATTATCAAGGGAATTATGTATTTAGAATGCTCTCGCATACGGCCAGTTGTTGCTGGAAGACGAATGGTGGTCTAAATACGGACTGTCAGTAAGCAACAGTTTGCTCCCGCTAAGACACGAACTAGAACTTTCGCTCGAGGAGAACATGCTCTTGCTGCCCGTGTAGAAAGAGAGGGACGTATGCAGCGGCTCGCGCGTCATCCGTCGTCTCGCTCGCACCAACGATGCGAACGCTACCGCGATCGCGCAGAGGAATATGACGCCTAAGACGCAGAACGCAAGGGCCATTTTGCCCGGCGACAAGCAGATAGTTTTGTCGCCCGGAGAAAAGCCTCGCACGAATTCGTCCCTTTCGCCCTCTGTCCTCCTTGTACCTGTAAAGGTGTGATTTGCAGTCATCGATGGTAATAGTAATGTATACGCTAACACTATTTTATTTTGGCGGCCATAAAAACATAACCAGTGCTATATCTCTTTTACCGTTGCCTCTTACCGATCGGTTGACCACCCTTGCTTAATAGTTAACTAGCGACCCGCCCCGGGTATCACACGGGTAGCACTCCTTTATAAAAAAGTCATCCGCTGAGCCACTTTGAATATTGCTTGAAAACTCCATCAAAATCAGCCCCATCACACATCAATTTTTATATTCGGGCCGCGGGAAGTAAGGGCAATCTTTAACTTCACAAAATAAAGGGAAAAAAAAGAAATTTCACAAAAAAAATAAGACGGTAGAAAGAGGCAGGTCCGACTTAATGAGAACCACGACCTGCCCGAAGACCGTTATACTTTACTGGAAGCGTTATACTTCTGCGTTTCCTCTGGTGACTGAGGTAACCTTAGCCCGCTGTATTAAACGGTGGCACATATGCAATCCAGTCTGTGAGGCCTATGTTCAGCAGTGGACTGGAACAGACTGAAATGATGATGATGAATGCAATCCAACTAGTGTTGTATTGGTCCATTGGCGGCGATCACTCAGCGTCAGGTGGACCGCCAGCTCAATTGTCGTCTCACATAAATAGTGCGAGTCTCCGCGCGGAAGAAGTGAAACTCCGAGTTCCACGCATTCACTCTCGCTCTGACTCTGTCAATGCCCTGGAGCGTTGAACGTTTAACGCAACAGTGCTCTAATACCACCTCGACGGTAGCGTTGAACGTTTAACGCAACCTTGTTGGAAGTCGCATTACAAGTTTCACTTCAAAAAATATTTAACGGTTAGTCCCCGTAAATAGTTCATTGATTAAGAGTATTTATGATCCGTGGTAATAATTGACAACGGCACGTGGTAATATCCACTTTGTATTGTTTAAAACATTACAACGTTATTACAACCCAATAAACCTTTTTTAATGTTTGATTGGCATTTAAATGACCAATAGTCATTTATGTAGGCTAACGAAATTGTAGTACATTTCCGTACTATCCTTAGATATGGATGGTATATACGAAGCATGAAATTATTGAACAAATACTATAACTATAGCACAAAATCCTACCCTCATTCTAACAGCCGTAAGTTGTTGTACCATTGCCGACAGGCGGCGCTGTAAATTGCCGTGCATACATCGCTTCAAAAGTACTAACTATAAACAAAATTAAGTCGGCCACTTGATGAATTTAAACGAAAAATTAACATTAAACTTATGGCTAAATCATAGTGCGCAATATCTTGATTGTTACTCACGTAGGCTAAAACAAAACTATTATATCTGTACCATTATAATGTAAATCGACCTTTTAATAAAAAAGCAACTGTTGAGTTTCTTGCCGGTTTCTCTTCAACAGAAACTGCTTTCCGAACCGGTGGTGTCTTACAATTACTTTGTCTTTCGACTTTTCATAAGAACGCGCAAGCGTCTATAAAGATTTATTATTATTTTCTTAAAAGTTGTTTCTACTCAGCTCTGCTGGTTTTACGTGCACGGACCAAAGTCAAGTGAATGCAGCAATGTGGTGTATTTTTCATGATTAGGATGTGTTGTCATTTATCTGCATGAACTTCCTAACGATTCTGCATGCATTTAAAATAGCAGCTCTTTGTAGGGTTATGAATAGGGAATGTTCCAATTCAACTAATTGTTATGTTGGGGATATTTCTTTGTTTTCCCGTCTGGTTGGGTTTATAGATAAAAAATAAACATATAGATATATATTGCATATATAAAATAAATATTATGAATAAAAATAAATATATACATATAAATGTTGTATATAATACACATATAAATAGGACCCAACCAGACGGAAGCCCTCGGCAGGGTAGACCAAACGGCCGAGGGTTAGGGCGAGAGGGAGAGAAACCGGCGGACGATGCGGGCGGTATCGAGGAGCACCGCCTTCTGCATTTGAGCTTGGAGCGATCCGTCCCGGAGTCCCAGTCAGATGTTTGGGAGGCTGACTGGGATTAACCCATTCGCAGACACGACTATCGGGATAATTTCGGTCGGCACACCACCCCACATGTCCGTCACCTTAATTATTATTATTATTACTATTACATAAAAGGGACAACAGACTCACCCCTCACGGAGGCGTCGTCCAGCTCGATGTTGGGCGCGAGCACCTCGATGCTGTTGTACACCTCCAGCCTGTCGATCAGCTCGCCCCTGGCGGCCTTGTCCAGGCGCGCCCTCCTCAGCAGCCCGTCCCGGCGCAGCGGCCGCCTCAGCGCGGCGCAGTCCACCTTCGGGCAATCGCCCCGGCAGAGCTCCACGCCGCAGCTGAGGTGCAGCTTCGCCCGGTCGGGGAACTTGAACGCGGCGAAGGTCACCACCGCGTGCTGGTGCCTCATCACGCTTCTAAATTCCGCCTCCATCGGCCTCGAGTCCCGGACTTCGGGGTCGATTGGAACCATGTCGGCCAAGTCCGCCTCGGCCCGTTTGTGCTCGTGGACAGAGGGCCCGCCGAATATCGCCTCGTCGATGGGGCAGCCCGCGTCGTCGAGAAGCTTCTGCGACGCCTCGCCGAGGCCGTCGTGCGCCACGCAGTCGGTAACACGCAAACCGACACCGGCTGTCGGTAAATATTGTTGATGATAACGCTTTGTTCGCCATAAAAAAGGCTAATACGAAGTGAAAATATAAAAAAAAAGCTTGCTTGAATCAGATTGATACACGGCTAATGTTCTTTTTTTACTCTTTCTTTAAATTCTCCTATTCTCTTTCATTCCGACTATTGTTACATTGTTACTCTGTTTTCTGAGTACGCTTGTTGACATAATATCTTAATAAACATTTAAAGTGCATTTAAGTTTGGCACTATACTTATGGCGATATAAATATTTTCGAGTTAGAGAGAAAACAGCGATCGGATACTGACTGTGCATGATAACATGTGCATGACAACGCGTGAATGACAACATGTGCCTGATATCATCTGCATGATAACATGTGGTGGTTCTCTCACCGGGAAGCGTGCACTGTATGAGTAGCCTGGTGGGCTGCCCAACCTCCACGGAGGCCGGCTCCGTGGCAGCCCTGGTGGGCGCCAGCTCCATCCAAGCGCGCGCCGACTGCATCAGCAGTTCCCTCTGCTCTATTTCCGCTGGACTGGGGAATCCTTGCCGGTTTCGGCCGGTCCTGTTGTCACCAAGGATGCTTAATATTTATAAACTATATTTTTTTATGTGAGAGGGTGGTGTAAGAGCTGGTGGTTCACCTGATGTTAAATGGCAACAGCCGCCTGTAGATTTTGCAATATTCGTTGGTAGCGTTGCAGTTGCGTTGCCAGCTTTTAATGAAGTAGGGCCCCAGTTACCTGATTCACCAGACGAGACGCAGAAGTATAAAACTTCTACTTCACGCCGGTCTTTTGTAAGTACGTGGTACTGCCCCGACCGGGACTACTCATTCGTGCAACAGAAAAGACTTCTGTGGCTCTACATCATTAACAAACTGTTTTTTCAAAGTTAATGATCGCGACAGTTTACAATCGAAAGGTAATTGACTTTATAACGAACGATAATATTACGTATCTACCGTGTTTGTTCTCGAAGCATCGTTGAACTGTGTTCTTGGCATAAGTACCAGCTAGTTTTAATGTTCCTATTTTTATTTTATTTTTTATGTGAAAAGTTGCCAAACGAGCAGACGGTTCACCTGATGGTAAGTGAATACCGCCGCCCATGGACATCTGCTACACCTGAGGGTTCCAGATGCTTTGACAACCTTTTGAAAATTGGGCTCCGGCTACCTCACTCACCAGACGAAACGCGAAAGTATTTGTCATACTACCACTTTACGCTGGTCTTCTGTGAGGTCGTGGTACTTACCCGGACGGGCCTGCCCATTCGTGCAACAGCCGAGGCTGCTGTGTGGCCCTACCACCGTGATATTTTAATTTATTCGTTTAAACGGCGGCTATCATAATACACGTATTTTAAGAAGTATGGTGTAAAATATTTGAGAATTTATCTCATAGCAAGGCAATGTCAAAAAATTTAATACTCACCTAACTTTCTTAGCTTCTTGTCCTGACATCTCGCGTAATTTCGTCTTGAGAACCCCTTCAAGAGCCGAGCTGTGGATGCGAACCGCGCGCGGTTGCAATTTACACCTGAAATTGATCGTCGGACGTTTCGATGAAATCGAGCAGTAATCATCATAAATCGAATCAAATTACGGTCAGCCATAATTGAACAATTCGATGGAGAAAATATAAATGGAGTTGATTTTTTCTCTGTTTCATCTAATGTGAAAGTCAAATCGAAACCAATGAAATTATACCAAATGAGCGTAAGGAATATTATGAAATACTAGCTGTGCCCGCGACTTCTTCCGCGTGAAATTAAATATAAAAATAATCTAAAAAAAAAGTAGCCAAGATTACTCTTTATTACATCAACAATCTGCTATTCAAAGTCCCGTCCAAATCGCCGGAACAAACAGACAGACAGACAAAAATTGTAAAAAATGTTATTTTGGTATATGTACCGTGTATATATTTAGTAAAAAGCGCTTATTTTAATATTACAAATAGACACTCCAATTTTATTTATCTATATAGATAACTTTAACAGAATCATAGGCAATAACTCTAGACTCAGCAGAATTTTTTCAAAGTGCAGAAATTTAGGTATATCTTTCAAAATTATATTAACATAAGACTGGACTGTGAGTTTCGTAAACACTGGTTGTATTTAATTACAACGAGTATGTTGCGCTTACGGGCCGAAAGCAGAAGAGCTTCCGATCAGCGCCTATGGGAAATAATTAGCAATTACTTGTAAGTGATTGCCGCGTAAAATCGATTCATTATGTTCTCACATTTTGAATATCAATACGAATGGGCGACAAACTAAAAAATGTTTTCATTCGCGAAGCTTAAGTATATTAAGTTCGATAAGCTGCTGCTACCACTAACATCGATGAGGCTATCCAGGTTGAATGGATTTGGCCGATCATCGAAATCACAGGTGGGTAGGTAATTGTAGGTTGACGTCAGTCAGGCGGCCGGTCGTAAAAAATATAGCTAAAACGGCTTACAACATGGTTCGCATTTGCCCATCTCACCTGGGTGGGATAAGGGCAGGAGGATGATGATGAATGTTCTGTGACCAATTGTTACGTTTACGGAATCTCAACCTTCAACTCACCTCACGATAAGCTCTTGATCGGATAATTGCTGCAGCTGACGGTCCATTTGCACGACCAGCTCAACTGAGTAGTAAAGGTCTTCGTTGTCATCTGGCTCCTCTACGGTAGAGTTGATAGTGGACGTTCGCACACCGCAGGCATTCGACGGCAGATGCAGGGAAACTGTCTTCTGTTGCTTGCCTGAAGAGGTTATGTTAGTTTATACACAGTTAACTGTAAGATAAGAGTCAAATCGAGAACTCATTACACATTAATTATATATTTCGAATGTAATGCAAAATTATTAAGGGAAGCGGAAGACTTAGGTGAATATAGTTCCGATCTTTTCTACAGAAGCTCTTTTGCTTTTTTTTCCATCCAGCTCTGAGGGTACCCTTGAATTTCCAATAGACTCTACTACAGGGTTCCGCATGAACTTCATTGCAGCATTAGTTCAGATTCCTCCTAACTAAAACAACTGCAAATCTTACCTTGCACTTGACATTCCCTGGAGAAGTCCTTGCTGAAGATAAGACCCTTGAAGGGCTGGTCCATTGTAACGTGGACCGTGACGGAGTTTTTGTCGCACGACGTGGATACGTCGACCACCCTGTTGGAGCGACATTGCACTCGAACGGCCGCCAGAAGGCATATCACTGCCATTCGCCACATATCGCTCGCGCCCTGAGTAAATTATACCTTCTTAAAGAACAACTAGTTGACCCGGCAAACGTTGTTTTGCCATATAAATTATTTGTAGGGTAGAATAAAATATTTGGGGTGGACCACCCTTAACATTTAGGGGTATGAAAAATACATGTCCGATTCTCCACCCTGGCCGATATGCACATAAAATTTTACGAAAATCGGTCGAGCCGTTTCGGAGGAGTTCAATTACAAACAACGTGACACGAGAATTTTATATATTAGAATATCATTGTTGTCAAAAATATTACTATCCAGGAGTCCTACCGAGAAGTATAAAGGTGCAATTATACTAAAATATAAAATTCAGCAGTGGACTCGTAACAGGCATCTAAAATGATGATGATGATAAAGTATTAAATACAGTTTCAATTCTGTGTGAGGCAAATATCAATAAAAAGTTCATCTACAATCAAATCATGATAAATAAAAGTGTTTAGTGTAAAAAGTTTAATATTCAAAGAGGAGTTCCACGTGTAACGGATAATTAATTACCGATTTTACTAGTCACATTTATCATCGGATGTCGAAAAATTTCTCCTGTCAGCAAATATTAACGTGATGAGACAATATGAGCGTGTACGGTACGATTCTGAAGAAAATTCTTTAGACAATTTTACGATATTGCAAATAATGTCTGTATACGATACAAACCGACCTTTATTTCTCGTTTACCGCTACATTTCCGTTTCTCGCTAACAATCTCTGATATTCCACATCGATTAGAGTCGTTTAAGACAATTAAACGGTTTATCTTCCTCGCAAACAAAGTAGGCCATATAAATTTGAGCTCATTACGATGAAAAATTATTGTACCGTAACGAGGGCTTTCCCCTATCTGAACCCTGAGCAATACAGATTGTAATTTAATTAGAAATAAGTTTTTAATGTAAAGTCAGTCGTAGTCTTAAGATGTGTAGTTTTTTTGAAGTAATGCTTTTTGATGAAATATTGTAAGCATCATTTAGCAAATCTTTAAAAAAGTAACATTAAGAAATAAGACTTTTTCCTTCAGTGTAGTGAAAAATAAAGAATCTTCAGAATTTAATACCAGATTTCTCCCATAATTCAGTGCACTACTTATGTACTAATTGAGACCAATTAAAATAGCGACTCGCTTGTCTTTCAATCACGTTGATTCATTTTCTGTTTGATGAGATTTTCTTTTTAGGGTTCCGTACCCAAAGAGTAAAACGGATCCCTATTACTAAGACTCCCGGTCTGTCCGTCTGTCACCAGGCTGTCTCTCATGAATCTGTTAGTTGGACAGTTGAAATTTTCACAGATCAGGTATTTCTATTGCCGCTATAACAATAAATACTAAACAACAGAATAAAAAAAACATTTGAATGGGGCCCCCATACAACAGAAATGATTTTTACCGTTTTTATAGATGATGGTACGGAACCCTACGTGCGCGAGTCCAACTCACAATTGGCCGGTTTTTTTTTTTAGAAGTTAGCACAAGATGTTAATTTATGTAGCTGTAATATATATCGTAAAATAGTAAAATGTGCATAATGAACTTAAATGGGTATTATATCAGAAGTTTAGTTGAATAAACTTACATGATTGAACTAAGCGTATGGTAATTTCACATCCACGAATGCTATATAATCTACTGATATTCGAAATTTATGCACAAATTATGCCTTTGGCACACTAAAATACCTTAGAATGTGTTGTTCATTTCGTTTAAACATTTAAATATCCATTACAGCTGCAGTGCAAGCTTTTATTACAGATGCCGTGATCAAGTTCAAGAGAAATCCCATTGGGGAAATCATAAACAACAAGTTTCTGCTAGTATTCCATTGGGCCAAAAAACAATGTCGTTTTAAGTCCCAGTGAAGCACCACACAACGGCACTATTTAATAACGTAAACAGTTAGGTGACGTTACGTAATTTTTAATTGCGCTTAATTAAAACTGTAAACGTAGGTACCACACAGCATCTCGGACGCGTGTGAAAGTACTTTGAAGAATGTTGCCCTACGCGAGATAAGGCCTTACTACGCTGATGCGTCTCTCGAGATCGATTGAATAAAAAATAATAATATTTTTTTTATGTGAAAAGTTCTAAGAAAAGTAAATAAAGCAATTAAGTAAATACCACCGCCCATGGACATCTACAATTCAACTCCAGAAGTCTATAGATAATTGAAGGGATTTTATAGAAAATTTAGAACAGAACTTTGAATACATGATTTGAAAAAATAAAACTTTTTTAGTGCACTTAAGATTGAACATTAAAATTTGTAGAAAAAGTACGTAAAGATTGTCGCCGCTGTGGGAATCGAACCCACGTCTTCAGCATTCGCGGCCTGACGCTTTAGCAACTAAGCTAATTCTTCATTTTTTAATTGCTTCAAATGATAAAATACAATGTAGATAAAAGACGTTAGGATTTTCGCATTTTGACTTCAACGATGATCAGTGTTTCAGAAACCTGGAGTTAAGAATGTGTTCTCTAGCGGCGGTCGAGAATCAATTAGTGAAAGTAGTTGGGACGGCCGTTGTTGCGTGTGCTCCGATTCCGACGGCCGAGGAATCGATTCGGCTCGGTTTTCGGGCGCAGATAAGATTAAACGCCAGATAGGTGGACCGCTGACCGGAATACCGTACTCACCGTGAGAGATCGTAACTGATAAACGCAATGAAAGTAAACGTTTGTGAAACTTCATTGCAGAAAGGCTAGAATCATCTACCATAAGGCACGACCGTTTTCATTGCAGAAAGGCTAGAATCACCGACCATACGAGGCACATTAAAACAAATAACGATAGTTGAAAGTTACGACAAGCTGACTGTAATTATTTTGAATGGCTTACAGATAAGTTTAAACGCTCTTGAAGATTTTGAATTATTATTTTTTATTACACACTTAAAAGACCTACATTAGGGTGAAAAGGAAAGTGTCATAACGATAATAATAATTATGGTAATAAGAAAATTAAGGTGCGGACATTGACAATACGAGTAGTTGGGTAGCCATTTATGCTTGGTCTGAAGGAACATGAAAAAGTGAACACTATGAAATAGATATACTATTCATATCAATTTCAGAATATCGGACTAAAGAACTGACTTGAAATTTTACTAAGCATGAAAAAAAAACATAAAAACGTAAAAAGTCTATCGACAGCCGAATCAGAAGAGAAGCTTTTAGTTTAACAACAACTCTCATGGCCTTCCGTTAATTAAATGCAGGCTGTTAAATGTACTCCAATCTGAATGCTTTCTCCGACCTCAATGCTTAGAAATAGATGGAGCGACATCAAACAGGAAACCTTTAATGAGTTTTGTGTAATACAAAAGCGTATCCGTTCATGGATATGGAATTTAGTTCAGTTGGGAATTAGGCTATCTTACGCTTTTGAAGACTCGATTAGTGACTTATCTCTTAGAGCAAATATTGAAACTATAAAGTGAATACATGTTTACTGGACAGATGCTGTATACTAGTTGAGAGTGGTTAGTGCCCATAATTGCGAGGCACCATAAATTATTATCGTCCATGAGTTTAAAACTCGCATATTATACATGTTGGAGCTCGTTTTTATCTAATGAGGACTGCTCTAGAGCTTTGTAATAACATCGGCATTAAATAAATTGGGACTAGGTGGTCACCTCCCCAGCTACCTATATGGGAACCATATTGGTTCATATGTAGTTGTGGGCCATCCTCCTGCCCTTATTCAACCTAGCTGGGGTCGGCAGAACATGTGAATCACGGTGCAAGTGCTTTTGTCTCCGTTTTTTACGACCAGCCGCCTGCCTGACGCCTGCACTCATATCTGGAATAATTATTATCTGTGGACTACACAAATACTCGTGCCGTGTGGGGTGCTTATAAACTTCGCCATCGATTGTTATGGGCAAATGTAAACTCTTTTTTAAGCCCAGTAAAGCATTAATACGTTGAACTTCCGAATTTAGCCAAAAATCTATCCGATTTACCACGATAGGAACTCGCTCATTATTCTGTATCTGGATTTAATGGCAAAGTAATATCAAGTCAATGTTTCAAAAAAATATTTGTAACGGCATGGATAGCGGCAGACATTAGCGCCATTTGGTACGAATAAATCTACTAGTTACGAAAGCAGTAAATGAGAGACGATGTTAAAAAAAACATTACATGTAATTTAGTCTGGGTCGGTCATAAATCCAAACGCAATAACTCGTCCGGTGCTTAATGGAGGCGTTTATAATTTTTAATTCGATTCGTTGTAAGTTGATCTTTGAAGTGCTTCGGCATATCTGGTGTAATGATAGATGATTTCCTCGGCGCTGGCTGTTTTTTGCAAGAGTGGCAATGGAACTCTTTACATGTTACACAGGATTATTATGCGAACTATAATAATTTTAGTTAACAAGTAACTTTGATTTGTTCATATTATGTTATCTATGAAAGTACAGAACTAATCGCTAAACTTGTTATATTTGATTAGCGCTCTTGAATGATATGTTAAATTTCAAGTATTGTTAAATATATCCGTATTTATAATATTAAAGTCAAATGAACAGAAGGAAATCATAATTGTTTGACAGAAAAGGCTTTTCGGAAAAGATATTAATGACAATTAAAACCATTACGTCAAATAATTTGGGTTGACCACTCAGTTGACTTAGTATTGTGCTTTGACCTGTTTTTTGCCGCTATTAATTTTGCATTTGACACAGTATTATAAAAGATCGGTTTGTAGGACTTTTCAGGAAGCTTTCTCATAACAATTACCTAATTATGTTATTCGGAATAAACTGCAGTAGCTTGGGATGTGAATTAATTAGTTATAAACGTCATCCTTTCATAAAACAAGTATTATGATTGAAATTATTTAAGAACAAGTTGCCCTTTTTTATAGGATAGCACAGTGTACATCTACACAATTATTAATTCATATCTCGGGTGACAATATTTTATCCGAAATCATGGTACAAATATAAAAAAAAAA